GAGTCACTGTGTGTACCTAGGTCAAGGACTTTACGGCTGCCTTTTGCACGCAATATGTTATGAGCATGTATTCGAAGCCGCTATGTTTTGATCATTAGAATTTTACAAAGAAATGAACGTGAAAACTTCAAAAGGATCTATGTGAATATTCTTTAAGTGGGACACATTAAAGTAGAACATTACGATGCGTTTTGTCTCAAAAGTGAAATGCAACAGAATACTGAATCAGTTATACAAGTGTTACTTGGTTCGAGACTTTCTGGTCAAAGAGTGGGAATCAGCGTTGTTCATTCAATGGTCTGGTGTATTTGAATTGCTCGTGATTAGGAATTTAGATTTATGTCTGTTCTGTAATCATGAACAAAATCGATGGTTAAGTACAAGCAACTAAAGGGTAAGGTCCAAAATTCTAAACTGAATTTTGCACGAAGCTTCCTTCATTCCCCTTTTGTACTGATTGTATCTTAATTCATGGCAGCCACGTTATTCATGGCAGCCACACGTCGAGTGACCTACGTATCTTGTTTTTAATCAATTGGCTTAATTTTGTGCTAAATTGACGAGGAGATGTCTCGCCGGTTTCTTGCGCTGAAAGCAAGTTACATTTTGTAACTCCTGATTTCGTGAAGCTCAATTCTATTGAAAGTGAACATCATTCAGCGAAAGTTGGTGATGTTAATGGTGTTTTGCTCCTCTTCTGAAATGGGGAAAAGATCATCTTGATTGAATTAATTTACAGATATAATACAAATCCTTAAAACGGAGGAATATGGGAATGGCGGTGTGTTATATTCTTCACTTACGACAGATTGTTTGAAACAATGCTACCACAACGCAACAATTACTGAACACAGATGAATTAAATGGATTTTAATTCGAAATTCTATAAATATAATGCGGTTTTTTTATGCTATGAATAGAGTCGGTCAAATTGACATAATATTGTATTTTGTTCCGATTCATAGAAACATAAGTTTGGAATTTTTGTATGCTGCCTTTTTCATCATTTAGGAGGCACAATTGATAAAAGCTTTGCGGTTTTATCAGAAACCAAAAAAACCACTGAATTAGACTTAACCACTTCATTTTAAAAATACTCTGATCACTAGACTGACTATGTCAAAGGTTGTCGCCTCTTGCTTTAGTCTCCCATTCCAAGTTCATGCCATGATATCTAAAACTGTGGTAGGATATAATCCTTACATTGCGTATAGCACAATTCTAACTACTTTTATATGAAAAAATTTAGATAATAGCCGTGCAGTAAATGGAATATGTACTACATTAACTTTTCGTTCTCCGTTTCAGCTTTTTAAGTGTCGATGCTAGCTGACAGCAGTAACCTAATGTGGATATTGACTTCTTTTTGTTATGGCCAACCATCTTTAACCATACACTATAATTAGTAGTAAATTGTCTTCACCGCATTTCAGAGAGCTAAAGTTAAAGCGCCTTAGTTTAATAGGATATGGTCGATGTGGTCTTGAGAAGACCCTCTTTCGTAATGGCTTCATTCAGTGTTCTGTGCAGTCGATTTGCGGGAACTGCTTCAATTTACTGTAACTAAATCAAACAGAGAGACAAGGGATTGAAAGCTGTTGGAAAACATTATATATGTAATTCTACAATAAGAATAACTTTGTAAGTCGATACAAGACTTCTAAAGAGGAACAGATTTAATGAACCATTTTCCTTATTAAATTGCGTAGAAAGTATTGTAAATGGTTTTGAGGAAAGTTTCTTTTCCTACGCTATTTAATAAACCTTTAAAATTGATGCCTGTCTTCTAGATAGTTACTCTGCTGAAGAAAAAAGCAGCTTAGCTTCGTTTAAAAGACAAATCTTCCGCCCTTGAGTGGCAAAGTAAGTTCCTTTCAACTCCCAGTGACTGCGTTGATGAGTTTGACATTGGTTTTTGACTTTCACAGAACTAAAGCACAGACGTAAAGGCGTTCTGTTCCGTCCATTTTACAACGCTAGCTTAGTTGAATTCCTCAACTCAAAATTTACAGTTCCTCGCACAATTACGGGACATAAAAACGTGGGGCATCATGAATGATGCAATCCAAAAAATGAATTAGGGCTAGAAATCGCCTCGCTTATTCGGATAAACGACTTTCGTGCGTAATACAGTGTTATCAGGAGCTTTCGATATGCGTTTGGTGAGCAAAAGGAAGCGATTAATGTTAGTGGCCTATTTCGGCAATTTGCTGTTTTAGTAATATTGGCGTGTTTGAGGTCTGCCTATCGATTCGAATCAGCGTTCTGTAAGTCTGCAAAAAAAGATTTTTAATAGCTTTTATAGAGGCGGGAAAACTCATTTTTCCTTTGATTACAGTCAAGGCGGGAAACTGCTTAAAACAGTATGATATTTTTCTAACAAAATCGTGATAATTTAAATTAGGTATTTCACAAAAAAATACCGAAGGAATGATTTGTTAAGGCTAGAGAAAGATTAAAATCATACCATCCATTTAATGAATATTATCTAAAATTCGTTCTATTCTTTTACGACGGAGATAAGCTCGTGTTTATCACAAAAATTGATCATTTTAAGAACACGCTCGCCTAAATTCCTTTGAATTAGCTTTAAATATGACTTAATGGCTAAAGTGGCTCTGCATTTGGTCAAACCATTTACGAAATTTTTTTTGATTGATTTTCTAAATTAGTTTGAGGAACTTGAAAAGCCATTTAAAGTTGAGTATCAAATGAAACTTAGGAGTGAAACATACACTTTCCTTGCTTCTGTTAGACAAAAAAAGCTTCTTAATTAGGTTTTTAGACAATAATTATCCTAACTGGCTTTTAATTCTACCCTTCCTTTGAAGCACCATTAATACTGAATATACTCGATAGTGTTTTCCGCCCATGAAGTAATTCCTTAGTCAAACAAGGCTGGGTATGTATGCGAACAAAAGTGAGTGAGATAATTTTTTGTTTCCATTAATCGTTGTATTCTTAAAAATAAACTCATATTGAACTTAGCGTGTATTAAAATCGTAAAATCTCGCTATCCAAAGTTTTCGTTGAAAGAAAAGACGCTTCGAATAATAAGCTATAGGTTTTATTCGAAGCATATAAACTTGTCTAATGGGGGCACATAATGAATTCTAAGAAAGAAGAGTAGTTGGGTACTTTCAAAGAAGACACACGCCAAACTTCTGTGTATTCTAGCTTTGTTTGATGCTAGTTTATTTCGGCTCGGTATAGGAAACAGATGGCGTTTAATTGGCGAAAAAATACAATGCGTCAAAACACCGGAAAATCGATCAAAAAAGCGAGAATACTCACGCGTCAAATCTTTTAATGCACAATGAAGACCTAAAACTTCCCGGCTGAAAACAATCTACAAACACGAATTAGATACAAGTTAATCTGTGGACAATCTGCATTTGTGTCCTTTATTACGAGAAAACACGCTCCAGTGTTAAGTTACAGACTCTGAGAGAGCCTAATGGCTTAAACGTACATCTTGATTAGCGTTATTTTCAATCAGGATTACAAGCAGTGAATGAAAAGTGTGACAAGGGTTATCTATACGGCTCGCAAAATGGCAAGGCCACACACGCAACCAACTTTGTCGCGTCGCTGTAAAAATAATTCTTTAAGTATAATTTTCATAGCCAGACCCTTTCCGAATGAAACCTTTTTGGGAGTACTTCTCCTTAGTTTCGCAAACGTGCTAAGAGAACAAACAGAGGACATCGCAGAATCGTTTACAATAGAAGTGATATGTTTAATAGTCTTTTAGGTCCATTGTTGTGAATACAGGGTGGGCAAAGCAGCGAATTGATAACTAATTCAGTACTGATTACAATAGAATCGAAACCCTCCTCAATTAGGGAAAAAGCGACCTCGTCGAACATAAAGGAACTCAATGGGTTTTCGCAATCGAACTCTAAAACAGGCTTTGTCTCTTTTACAAACAGTACAGCCCATGGTAATTATTTTATCACATCGGATTTCACACCTTTGTATTGAAAAAGAAAGCTTCTTCAATTAATTTCATACGTGCAGTCGTAGCGTATGAAAACAATTCACTTGGTGTTTTTTAAAAGCATCGCGTAAAAAGCGTGTAGATCGTGGAGAACGGGAACATTTCACTCAAGGCGAGGAAAGGCATCAGATAGCATTTATAGATTGAATCCACTTTATCGCAAAGGCGAGAGCTCCTTGTCGCCATAATATAAACAAATAATTTTCTATCCTCTGACACAGTACCAATTAGGAATCGTTAATGGTCGGGAAAATCGCTATGTTCACCGACATCGCTGCAGATCTGAAAAAAAGTTTTGGGTCAAAAGATTGGGGGAAATGGCTTTATAGCACTCTCTTGTTATCAGTAGCCAAAGGAATAGCGTTGGTCTTCTCGTACAGAGAGGAATAAATTGTTCAGAAACACACATCCTGTCGATAGAGCAATTAAAGTACCAATAAAAGGAATGAGAGCTCAATTCGCTAAAAGACTGTGTCAATCTTATCATAGGAAATGTCAAATATCAAAACTAGCAATTATACCATGTCATGAAACTCTTAAAATTGCTTTCTAAGTATCCGAAGAATCCGCTTCGCGTACCAAGAACATACCCTCAGCTGTTAAAATAAACGCACAATGAATTTTTTTGCGGGAAAATTCCGCCCTTTATACGGTTGTTATTTAATCTCTAGCTAAGTTATTGAGTAAAAGAACAAGCCTTCATTAAACACACGACATTGTCGTTTCAGTGAGTTTATTCTTAGTAAAACTGACTAATTGCAAATCAAATCTATTACATACTATTCAATTCATTGTTTACCTCTTTTTACACTCTATTTCTTCTATTGAAAAAGCTACCGGATTCAAAAGAAACTACTAAAAAAAACCTCCGAATTTGCAAGAATTTTCTTTTTATATACAAAACGTGTTTTGCGTATGGCAATTCCCTATCGCTCGTGGATTACTTGGCAAAAGCTCGGCAGATGATTCTTCTTTAACGTGTTATTTGCTATCATTCAGAGAACTAGTTTAAAATACTTTTGTTACTGATTACATTTACCAAACCGACTTTAGAATCAACTCTTTGCCTCACTACTGCTTACATATAATTTCTTCTCTAATTCAAATCAAACATTTCTGTAAACGAAAGGAGGAACAGTCCAATAGGTAGAGAGCGTTGACCAAATAAACGCGAATCAAATTTTGCATGGTGATTGTCTTTTACTCTGCCATTACGTAAACTCACACTCAACGTCCAGCGCGAGTCACCTTGAATCCTCAACGGTTCAGTTGCTTACGGTACAAAGTGTTTGATCTTAGAACGCTGTAAAACCAGCGTTTTCAACCTTCTTTTAAGTTTCTGTTCCAAAACATTTAGTTTAGCTAATTGTTCGAAAGAAATCGAACTTTGCGTCAGACATCTTTGAAGACGGGGACTGTCTATCCTGAATTGAATGTGTTAATGTGTGTACGAGTCCCAAATAGCACCCAAAACTTACGAAGAAGTCTTCTCTATGGCCTTTGTTTCTTCAGCTTCTAATCTTTCCGATTTCTCGCCCTGTGATTCCTGCTTAAAGCGCCTCCATTTTGCTCTGCGGTTTTGGAACCATGTTTTTACTTGACGCTCTGTTAACCCTAGGACCTTAGACAACTGTTTGCGCTCAGGTGGCGAGAGGTACTTTTGATTCTCGAAAATCTTCTCCAGTTCCATGGTTTGCTCGTTGGAGAAACGAACCTGGCCACCCTTCTTTTTCTGCGGCTTCGGTAGAAACAGATTCCAGGCACCTTAAAGTGAACAACGGACGGAAATGATTAGAGATGCAAGAAAGTAAGTAAATTTTTGCGGGTTAACTTGAGGTCGCTGTTGGGTGCGAATGAATGCTGCTAGTAATTTCCGTTAAGATTTACTCCCAAATTTTCACTTCTCTAAGCTCCTGGTGTAATCAAAAGACGAGGAATTTTAGATGCGATAAATTCTCAGTTTGGGGCAAATACAAGTTGCCTTCAGGAAGTACAGATAATATGGAATTCATACAAATCGATGCGGCTGTCATCTGTGCACGAGTTTTCAGTACTGAATAGATGGCAACAAATTGAAACGTATTTCAGCGTAAACTGCGAAATGGTAGAGTACGGTTTAGACCAAGTGAAAAGCGAAAAGAATCAGTTAATAACCTAATGCTCTTATCACTTACTTCGCGGCCAAAAGAAAGAACTGTGGTTATCGAAACCCCAGCCGGGACGCCAGCTAAAACGCTAATCTTGTCAATGTTTCCCCTGCTAAGAGCAAACGCGCCAGAGAAATCAACTTTATCGACAGTGCTATGAATGCAATCTTGTCAATCGGCAATTTTGATATCTTGGTAAACGAAATAGATCACTCCACGCATACGACCTAGCCGCAGAGGTTTACCTTTTTAGATACCGCGGGACAATTCGGCAATCAACACTGTACTTACTGTGATCGTTGTACGCTTCGTAGACACTGGGTATTGTCGGCGCGTGGAAACCGAAACTCCTCGGGGAATGGTAAGGCGTGAATGGACTGCTCAAGTTGGTGTAAGTTCGCGGCGGAGCCAGATGAAACGCTGGAGTGAGACAGGGTGGTTTTGGTACCTCGCACATTGTTGAAGTGCAGATAGACGCTTGAGGTCGCTGCGATCCCGTGCTCAGAATGTCATCAATATAGAACGACGATGAATTGTACGGAGGAAAAACATTGAGACTTCTATTCCACTCGCAGTGTTGCATTTTCAACGACTCCTTCGCTGTTTACAGATAGACGGTTTGCGTTATCGACCTTCTCGCTACAGATTGTGAAAACTATCTATCCCTGCTGGCCTCTGTGCACCGCTATATATCTCGTCTCCAGTGCGCGTACGAACTGAAAGGACTGTGTTATGTTGAAATTAGCAACTAATGACCGCAATTTAGATGCACCCTCGTGATTGGCTGTTTGACTTATTAATAGATGTTCCGTTTGATAAGCGGTTGAGTGACAAAGCCAAGAAGTTGACCCACTTTGGTTCGCCTGTCACAGGAGACGACAGAATTCGCTTCCGTACTGTATCACTTGATAACAAAAAACATATACTTCGAGTTTACATAGTACTTTCCCTTTTTTAATGGGCCACGAAACGCGGTGATTCTCACACCAGCCGCGGCGCTTCACTAAGAGGATTCACACCGGAAGATTCGTTGGTCGACGCAGAGAAGTCCTCGTTGGCTATTAGATTGGTTCGTTTACGAGGTTTACAAGAGTACGTTTGATAATGGATTGAACAGCTCCCTTGGGCGCCCAGTAGACTTGGGCTGACAATAGAGGGTGTTATCAATTAGTGATAATTAATTAGCAGACATTTTACAACATTCCTCGCTTTTATTTTTGTAATCAACATTCACAAAATTGCTTTGTTCGACCAGTGAGAAGACAGGTGCCGAGCATCGAATTCGAATTCAAAACCCAAACAAGAAATTATACCATGGGTTGGGTTTTAGTGAGGTAGAGTTGTACAGGAAATTTAAGCCGATCGAATTTTCTGAATGTGATTGCAGCAAATCTTAACCGCACTGCGAAATAGGAATACGCTTATAATCCACTCTGATATCTCTATGTTGGCGAGCTTGATATGCTAACTTAGTGAATCTGATCGACAACATGATACCCTCAATCCATCAATAATTTGCTGAACGTTTCTGATCAGCTGAGGTTAGTCTCTTGAAAGGCTCTGAATTGTCGGTTAAGTGATGATAGCAAAGAAACGAAGCGATGTGAAACTCGAAAATAACCTTGAATGCAACGATCAAACTTCCCAAAAAATTCGCGACAAAAAGTTTGTTAAAAACCTCGAATCGAAAGTCAACAAATACAATGCAAGTTCTGCTCAGCCTAAATGAACCATTGAAAAGGAATCGCACATTAGTGCTAAAAGTTACACCCTTTCAAAAGTCATTTATATCTTTCAATGCCACCGCGAAACACGCTTGAAATCACAGTTGAAACACAATAAGCCTATTAAGAGAACCTTAAAACCCAGGTGTCCCAAAGCTATTATCTTCGCCACAGAGATCAGTAGCGTTTACGTGCTTACTGAGAGAGAAAAGATGCTATGGAAAAACTTTATCCATTTTCTTCGTTTCTTTACTTTATTACACAAGACTCGCGCTCAAATATGTTAAGTACCTGATGGCAAAAATTGGTGGCGATTGAAAATTTGATATGCAAAACTTATCTTAAAAAAAGCTGGACTTATAAAGAGCAATTAATTTGCCCAACATTGGCATTTTGAGGCATCGAGAAATGAGGCCACAGAAAGAATCAGGTATTCTCTGACGTGTGTCGAGATCGTGGCCCGTGGTATAATTTGAGGTAACACAAGAAGCTGAAAGCGTGTGATCAAGACGAGCGAAGCTATTTTTTCTCTTAGCTGTCTCCTTAACACGAGGTTAGATGAAATCCCTGATAACTTAGCCCATTAAACATGGCAATTTCACAGCTCTCTCGAGAGTGAGTGTCTTATTTCAAAAATAAAGTAAACAGCCAATCTGGGCCTTTTATTAGAGGGTGTTTCACGCCACCTGCTAGCGTTGACGTCATTAAACGACGCCCAGAAAATTAAATCTCTACATGACAACCTCCATCGAAGCAAGCAAGGGTTCTGTTCGGGATTATGTGTAAGCGTGTTAATGTTGGTATTTTCTTGCTGTGATCATATCCTCTTGGGATCTGATCATCTGTACATTGTAAATATGCCTTTGTTAATGCTAAGAACCCAAGTTTTCGCTGATAAAGAACGCAAATTGCAAAGAAGTTCATGAGATACGTGCATTCATTTAGCTTAATGTTACGTGTTTCTCTCAAAGGGGAGTTCGTTTGCAGTAAGAACCAATTTTCTCGCTAGTATTGGCATGTCAGTTCAATAGACCTAAGGGATATTTTTATATCATGCCTTGTGTCAGGAACGCATTACTTGTGCCCCTGCTTGTGTACAATTTCTTAATATAATTTGAATTGTTTCCCGGAGGGCGGGTGGTGATGCTATTCAAAGAATGAGAATAAGTCAACTTTACTAATTCAAAAAGCTGAGGCACTTCGCGCAAGAATGCTTTAGTACGTTCCTCTATCGCACTATGTTAAATATATTATATTTTAAAAACTGAACGACATGCCTACCCGAATAACTAAAAAAACTGAAATACTTTTGGAGATATGGCCTTCATTGAATTGTAGCTGTTGCAGAAAAAACTAGGAGTGGATGTAATAATGATGTGATGTTATTTCCTGCGAGGAATTAACAGCAAGACAGACAGCTGTGTGGTATAATTATCATTTGATCTAAATCGCAAACTTTACACTAAGCAGAGAGCACGGTGTATAGGTTACAAATTATGAAATCTGCTCCTGAGATTCCTTATTGAATGAATTGGATTACGCTGTTCAAATTGTAAGGAAGGAATGGGGAGTTAAAAGACAACTTTGCAAGCGAAATCTTTGCGGCATTCGTGTGCAGCCATCACCTTACCGCACGAATATTATTAAATCTAATAGAAAAAAGATGTACGAAGTCCCTGAATTTGTCAACCTTCAGCATATAATTACAATATTATGTTTTTCGTAGGGGATCACTTGTCATCGAAATGAAGGAGTAAAACAGAAGTTGAACTCTTCACAAAAGAGATTAGACAGAGCTAGTCAAGAGTTATCTCTTGATCCGGAGGCCAACTGCACAGGGTTGCAGCGATTTTAAGTTTAGGGAAAATCTGTGCCTTGAGTCAAAGTTCAGTCAACATATGGCTGATGAAGAACATACCTAAATTGCAGTCAAAAACATTTCATCGCTGAAACGTTCACCGACAGACGGGAGTACTCGCTGTAAACTTCACCAGTTGAGAATGATCTATCCCAAATTGCAGATTTTCATCAGACTTCCCCTTGAAACCTCCAACAACGAGAAGAAATACCACTCTGTCGATAGTTGTGTCTGTTATCGTATTGCGTTTCTGATAAGATACTCGTTTGGCTGTTTATCTACAGTCAACGCTGCTTGTAGAATAAAATTTCAATTTTCTCTGCTAGCAATATAGCCGAGGTCAAGTGCTATCCACACTTTTATCATCGGCAGCCTTTGGCGGATGTTATTAACCAGCTTGGGCAATTCTTGCCAAATTTTTTGGTCGGAGTTTAAAGAATACACGTTAAGATAAACGCACGGAAATAGTGTGTGAGTAGTCGATCTTCACCCATTCAATGGTACCTTCTAGAAAACCACTGTATCTTCATAAATTAACTCCCTTAAGCTGCCTTCTTCCTTTAGTTAAGCTTCTATACCTTCACTAAGGATGGTTCAAAACGGCTTAGAACGCATCAATATTCTTATAATCCCTAATTCGCTAACGCTTCTTTCCCGTTATTTCTCAGGGATTATCCTGATTAACAATAATTCTGAAAATATTTTCGCTAAGTGCATGCAAGCCACTCCTTTAACTACCTACCAATTTGGCTTTGATCTAAACCCCAAAGATTGCTTTTCTTAAATAATTTAAGGTGGCAATTTTGATTTCCAATGATTTCATATCATCTGAACGGTCAATCACTTGAAAAGGAATTGATTTCTGAAAGAAGGAAAGTCAACTCTTGTAAACTCGAGGAATTTTAATCCAGGTTACCTAAGATTTTGAATTTGTAGACTCGAGAATTGAACAAAACACAGTTTGGACAAAAAATTACGATCATTTATCATACCGTGAACAAATTTTGTTGTCAAGAGGTTCTGCGTTCTAAGAGGAAGGTGTTTTTGTTCAAAGGGAGATCAACTGTGCTGCCGCACTCATCGAATTGTTACAGCGTATTTCAACTGTACTGTTTGGTAGAATGCAATTCTAGTTACTTGTCGAAAGCTTTCGTCATATCAGTGAATGGACTATTGCAGTTACACTAACACTGTATCAATGTGATGGACTTTTAATGGCGATGGACCCAGTGATAAAAAAGACATTCTAAAAATGTTGAAACATTGTTTACTGCAATTCACTTTTTGTGATAAAAAGTGCGTCAAAATCACATATTTGCAGCAAAGATTTTCAACGAGATAGTAAGTAATTTAGAGAAACAACCTTAATGTTCTACGTTTTGAACGAAAACGCGTCTTGAAGGAGGGGAAAACTGTCGAAGACTTGCCTTTTGTTGAGGAGGGCACCTTTTGACCAAAGATTTTCGGTTCACGATTGTGCTGAAACCTCAACAAGAGAACAGTTTCCTGTGTAAGTCAAGTAGATCTGGAGTTTATCAGCCCCGGGGTTGATCAATAACACAGAAATTGAGCTTGTTGTTAAGACACCACTCCACCTATAATTGCTCATTCAAAACTCATTTAGATGCGGAGGTAACACTAGTCGTGAAAAGAAGCTAGGGAAGTTGTTCAAAATAGGCTAAGCCATCCTCGTAGCTGGCAAACACACACACACACATAAGATCCATAACATTAAGGAGCAGGAGTTTGTCACGCTTCCGGCCTTGACAAAGGCTGAAAGATATCCTCATATCTGTTTGTCTGGTTACAATATACTGATAAGCAAAACTGAGCTACAAGCACGTTATCGCCTTGTAGAGACGCGTGGATTCCACAGGAAACTCGTCTTGTTAAGGTGCACCAATGCAAGAATATTGAAACCAGATTCCACTAAATAATGCAGCTAACACAATCGTTTCCGTTGGAAAGTCCTCTTTATCGGCTAAATTTGCTTCTCCTCCATGTGTTTATCCTGATTTGAACTGATCGGGATTACCATCACCAAATCCTCTTTGGCCAGCTGCTCGTGATTGTGTTCCTGTGTCAAAATTCAAAATAAAAAAATCAATAGATGGAAAAATGCTGACAACAGTTCAAAGGTGACATCC